ACGACGGGCACCTGAGAGAGAAGGAATGGGTGGGGGTGGGGGAGGGGGAGGGGGAGGGGGCAGGGGTAGCTTACCGACGCCGACGAACATTTCTTCGAATTCTGATCCCGACGCCTGAATAAAGGGAACCTTGGCCTCCCCAGCTATCGCACGAGCCAGCAGCGTCTTGCCCGTACCCGGAGGACCCGACAACAACACACCTACTCACACAGGCACACACACACACACAGGGGGGGGCGCGCGTGTCGTTACAGGTGTGTTTCCATCCATCCATCCATCCCTCTGTCCGTCCGGCTAATGACTGACCTTTGGGCAGCTTGGCGCCCAGCCGCGTGAACTTCTTGGGATCTTTGAGGTATGAGATGATTTCCTGCAGCTCCTCCTTGACCTCGTCGCACCCCTTGACGTCGCTGAAGTTGGTCTTGGTGTCGCTCACGGGGTGCACCTTCTTGGTCGCCATGCCGAAACCCTTCTGCACGTTGGACGCCAAGCCCTCCGCAAACACAGACATGCCCGCCACGATAATCAGCATCGACAGGGTGGAGCGCACCACACGCCAGCTGACCGAGGCAAGGACAACCGGACAGAGAGAGGGAGAGGGGGGGAGGGGGAGGTGTGTGTCGGGTGTTGGGTGTGGTGTGATTCCGGGGCGCTCCGTACAAGTTAAGTTTGTGTGAGTCTTGCAGGACCACCTTGAGCGGCTCGTCGGGCATGCTGACCTTGACGTCAGAGCCCCCTATACCACCCCCACCCTGCACACACACACACACACACAGCCACAGAGTTCCCTTACGTGAGCTGACGTGCAAAGAAAAGATGCATACCTGCGGGCCGGCGAAGTTGAAGCTATCCGCAGTCGGGTGCGGCCCCGTGTGTGCGCTGGAGGGATAGTCGTATGGCGACGAGGGGGATGATGGCGCCAGCCGCCCCTGCTGGTGCATGAGCGCCTGCAGGTCCACGTTGTCGAGGCGCTTGAGCATCACCAGGGCCTTGATGTACTCCTTGACGCTCTCGTCGTTGACCGCAAACCCCCCCGACTCAAAACGACTCACCACCCGCCGCGGGTCATACCGATTCAGCTCCTGCAAGAACCATCCCACCCCCACACACGCACACACACACAGTGGTGACACCGCCGCCCTCTTTCGTCCATCCATCTCCTTCTCTTCTCCTCCTCACCCACCCTGAGGTAAGCCGACTGCCGGTATGCGTCATCAGGCGCCTCGTCGGCCGTCCGCTCCATCCTTCTGAGTTTCTTCTGCACGTCACCGGACAGCGAAGAAGAGGAGGAAAAGCCGAAGTCGCCCCACGGGGTGCGCGCGAAGCCACGCCTCTGCAGGTGGTGGTGCGGCTGGTGGGGGAGGCGCGATGAAGATGAGCGTGAAGACGACGACAGGAGGGCGTGGCGGGGAGGGGTCGTGAGAGCCATGCCGTTGGCAGGGAAGCCCCGACTGACTGCATCTGCACCACAGACAAACAGATACACACAGAGAAAAGGATGCATGTGTGTGTGCGTTGATTGATTGACTCAGAGTGCACTGCATGACTGAATCTCACATACATACTGTGACTCATTCACATACTTATTGCGTGTGTGAAGTCCCTGGTTCGTGTGTGTATGCCTTCTGCCGTGTGCATGTGCCGTGACAGGCGGCATGCCGCCATCCACAGCAGACGTCTGTCTATCCTCCCTGTCTGCGTCATGACCTCCTGCAGCGCTGCGACGACGCGCGAGAGTCCTTCTGCTGCGCTCATCGCTCTTCGGTCTCTTGGAGGCCTGTCTTCCTTCTTTGTGCCTTTTTCTTCGGCCGGAACGACATCTGCGAGCTTTTTTGCGAGCTTGTGTGTGCGTTTCATTTTCTCCCCAACTCCACGACGGTATGCTCTCCTCAGGCGAAGCTGAAACAAACGAAAGAACGACACTTGAGGTTCGCTGAGCATTGATTTTCCTCTCGGTCATCTCAACGACAACGGTGCCTGATAGTGGACACGATGCTGAGGCTATTCAGCGGCCTTGATCCCAAGAACCGGTGCGTGGCCAAGGCCACCAACAAGTACGCAAGGAAAGAGTTAGCAGAGGGGCCTCGCCGCAGGCCGCTGGTGTGTTTGTATGTGATGGATGTGATTGACACATGTGGTTTTGCCCACACAATTCCTGCAGGCGTGTTGAGGGGGCCAAGCCCAAGTACTACCGCACCATCCTGATCGAGCTGTGGGGCAAGGAGACCGCCCAGCAATGCAGAGAGGCCTACCAATGGCTGTTCGACAGACTCATGGTCAGTGCTCAGCCAGCCAAGCAGGCCAAGCCACAGCACACCACACAGTACAGTGCAATCAATCGAGCTCGCCCCTCTACTCTTCTTTTTCAGATTCGTCCAATCACTTCGGACCCTGTGGTGACCCTCAAGGTGCTGCTGCTGGTGCACAAGGTGTGCCAGCAGGGGCCCCTCGAGGCCGTCATGCAGAACCTCCCCATCAACCTGCTCGACAAGATACACGGCGCGTGGATGGAGCCCTTCCCTGACAGCAGTAGCCACCCCCACCACACCCCCGACCTGCAGGGCAGCCAGAACCACATCATGATGCTCAACAGCAGCGGGGTCAGCAGCGGCCCGGAGGACGTGATTGTGGAGCGGATCGACTCGAACTCCAGTGTGCTCAGCACCAGCGACGACCAGAACCTCAAGGCGGTGATAGCCGAGTACAGTCGGTTCCTGCAGGCCAAGGTCAGCACCCACAGCAGGTGGGAGCTCTTCTTCCAGGGCAACTGGTCCATCGACCGCTACCTCGCTACCAACATGCTCACACTCGAGCAGGCCGCGCAGATCTACGACCCCACAATGTCACCCATACACCCAACCGTCCTCACCTCGCTGCTCGACCTGGCCCCCGCCCTCGCCCGCCTCAACGCGCGGCTGATTGAGCCACCGCCGGACGGGGGTCAGCCCGGCTGCATTGGGTCGAGGTACTTCGTGCTGTATCTGGGGGTCATCACTGCCCTCATCGACGAGTCTTGGGCGCTGCTGTCGATCGCCACGCACATCCTCGGCCGTCTCGTGCTGAAGCTATACCCCTCCCGCACACCCTCTCCCTCCCCCAAGCACCAGAACCAGCATCAGCAGCAACGGTCGCGGTCCTTTGGCCACGCCCGGTCCTCCCTCCGATTTGACATTGACAGTCTGATGATGGAGTCGACGGCTGCTGATGATTTCGACTCATCCCCCAGCCAGTCGGCGGCCTCTCTCTTCGCGTCGACCAATCCGATGCCCCCATACCCCCCACAGCCACCCGAGACGTCGGCAACGTTTCCCTCTGGCGACGAGAGTGAAGCGTCTTTGCGGAGGCGGCGGACTTTGGCCAGCCTGCCGTCGGGGATATCTGAGGGGAGTGACAGTGAGGGCGGGTGGGGGTCGGTGACCGGCGACCAGCGGCGGAGCTTGGCTAGGGTGCTGCTGGCCGTCAAGGAGAGGTATCTCATGTTCGTTAGGACTGTCAGGGCGCTATCAGGTACACACACACACACACAACAGACGATGCAGGGGCGCATCCGACGCACACGCCTTCTCTCCCTCCCTGTCGTGTGTCGATCGATCAGATTTTTGTCGTCGTTTCGAGAGTGTGTTTCCCGAGCTGGCGCACATGGCGTCGCCCCCCGACGTGGTGGAGGACCTCTTCTCCGACCTGCCCTCTCTCGTCAACCAGCCCACACCCACCAGCCCTCGCACCTCACGCGCGTCAAGGGCGACGCCCATCGTACCCACCCCTCCCCCACAGCAAGCACGACCACAACAGGCCGCACGACAGCAGCTCTCGCCCAAAGAAGGCATGGCGCGCACACACTCGCCGCAGAGGGGTGACGCCGGTCGTGGTGGGGGCCGGTTCCCCGATTTCGAGCCGCCATCGCCGCGGGGTGTGGCTGCCCAGAGGGCTGATGAGGCCAAGACCGCCAGTCCGGCTGTGGGGCGGAGGGAGGGGGAGGGGGAGGCAGGGGAGCGCGACAAAAGGCCGGGGGATCACGCGGCGTCGGCATCGTTGCTGGGGCTGTCCCTGGCCCATCGGAGCCGGCACAACATCCCCAGTGCAGTCGTCAAGGCGTGCGACACACTCAGCGGGATAGAGCTGCCCAAATCGTCTGGTGAGAACAGGTTGCAAGGCCGACACACCGAGTATGCAATGTGCTTGCCATCCCTCTCTCCCCTCCCTGCCTCAGATCGTCTCTACCTGAACCCCTTCATCCCCGACCCCAACCAGCCCTCATTATCCGCCGATGGGCCGCCCGTCGAGGCCGGGAGTGCGTCAGAGGACGAGTTCGAGGACCTGTTTCTGCAATCAGACACCTCACAGCCACAGTCACAAGGCCCCTCCTCACCCAAACACCGGCCGACAACGGCGGTTGAGGATCTCATGGATAGGGCGGTAACGAGTCCCACTCGGCCACAGCAGCCATTGCAGGAGCAGCAGAAGGAGCTGGGTGTGACGGCAGTGTCTGAGCAAGCGCCGCCGAAGCCTGCTGCATCACGACCCCCTCCGCCCCCACCACCTCCCCCACCCCCTGCCCACCCCTCGCTTGCAGCGCAAGCAGGCCACGTGCGGTCCTCATCTGCCGGCCCGGTGCCATCCGTGGCACCAGCACACGCCCCCCGACCTCAGCCACTGGAACAGCCTCCGCCCAAGAAGCGGGCGGCACCGGCTGTCTCTTCGCCGCCTGGTGTGGAGCCCAAGTTCGGCCCAGGTGTGCTGCTGCCGCTGCCGGACGGTCCGGTGGGGAGGGGGAAGCCCCCCGAGGGGACCTCGCAAACTGCGTCGCCCACCCCTCTGTCGTCACCACGGCCGCCTCATGTGGAGGCAGGTCGGGGAGGTCGGCATTTGTGGGTGCAGCAACAGCAGAGGCTGCCAGATCTTGGTGCTCTGCAGCAGCAGCAGCAGCAGCATCACGTCAACAAGCAGGCGACGATGCCGGTTGGAGAGATCATGGCGGCCGCGGGTGGGGGGCACGGACACGGCAAAGCAGCAGCCGTCGACCACCCGGTGGGGCGTGCTGTGATGGCTCGGGCACCGACGGCGCCGCAGATCGTCAATATAAATGTGTCCCGTCCGCCACCACCAGCCCCCATCCCGCCCCTGCCCCTGCCGGTGCGTGAGGCGAGGCGCTACTCGCGGGGCTCCTCCCACAACCACAACAACCCCTTCTCGGGCTCGCAGCAGGTGTCAGCCGCCCCATCGTCACAGCACACGCCGGGAGTCCAGACGCCCGCAAGGCCGCTACACCCTGGCGGGCAGCAGCATCAGCAGCAACAGCAAGGCATCCAGGGGGTGTGGGCTGCTCAGCACCAGCATCACCACCAGCAAGGTGGGGGAGGGAGCCCCAAGCACGGCATGCAGCTGCCCCCGCCCCAGCCCCCCCAGGGAGAGCTGTTTCGCAACGCCTCCTACGGCGTGTTCGACCACTCGGCGCGTGCAGGGGGCGGTGGTCATGGCGCGGGCGGGTCACCAGCACCGTCCAACCCCTTCTTGCAGCAGAACTTGGCTTACATGGACCAGCACGCACCCTTTGGTGCGGGGCAGCGGCAGCGCCGCGCCAGCCAGCAGGAGATGCACATGCACCGCGTGTCGATGACCCCTCCTGCTGTCACGCCGCGGATGGGACAGACACCACACGCACACGTGGCCGCCGGACGAAACGCGGGCCTCATGCAAGCAGCCTTCCCCACTCCCCCCAACGCACAGCAGCAGCAGCAGCAACAGCACCTTCATCACCACCACCATCACCACCAGCAGGCAGCGGCGCCGCAGCAACCCCACCATGCCCACCCGCAGCCAAAGGGTGCGAGAGCGATGCCCCACCACGCACCGGCACAGGCAGCGCCCGACAGCCCCTCGAGCAACAACAGAGTGGCGCCGGAGTTGGAGGTCGATCCAAAGGAGATCCTGTACGAGCGGCTGCTGGGCCAGGGCGCCACAGCCAAGGTCTACAAGGGCAGCTGGCGGGGCACCGAGGTGGCCGTCAAGCAGCTGACGGTGGCCCTGCCCCTCAACAGCGACGACAAGGCGTGCACCGAGTTCAACCGGGAGATGGCCATTATGATGCGCCTGCGGCACCCCAACCTGACTCTGCTGATGGGGGCGACCACTAAAAACCGGCCGCTTTGCGTAATCATCGAGTACTGCAGCGGCGGGACGCTGTTCGAGCTGCTACATGGGCAGCCACAGGTGCCGCTGACGTGGCGGCAGAAGATCAAGCTGGCGACGGACATTGCCAAGGGGATGAACTTCCTGCACACCTGCAAACCGCAGATTGTCCACAGGGACCTCAAGTGAGCCAAGACGGAGAGATCGAGAGATGATGACCTTATTGGATGGATGGATGGAATCGTTCGTGTGTGGCAGGTCGCTGAACATCTTGTTGGCCGAGCCGGTCCGCTCGCCGTCAGACAATCCGCTTGCCAAAGTCTCCGATTTCGGTGAGTGAGCACACAGACACTCAGGCAGACAGACAGACAGGCAGGCAGGAGAGGAGCCGAGAGCACCTCCCTCCCTCCCTCCCTCCCTCTCTCCCTTGTGTGTCGTTCATTCAGGTCTGAGTCGCATCAAGCGTTCGGCGGGTTGGGGTCACATGACGGGCGCCGCGGGCACCTACCACTGGATGGCGCCGGAGGTCCTCACAAACCAACAGTACAACGAAAAAGTCGACGGTAGGCCCTGCCAAATCAAAGGACACGCAAACAAGCGAGCGATCGCATCTCTCTCTCTGTGTGTGTGTGTGTGTGTACTTTTATATGCAGTGTTCTCGTTTGGCATCGTGTTGTACGAGATCTGTTCGCGTCGCATCCCCTACGAGGAGCTCAACCTGCCGCCCGTCTCAATCGGCATCGCCGTCTCGAAGGGCGCCCGGCCCGACCTTAAGAGGATCCCCATCGACACACCTGTTCAGATCAGGTGGGCAGGCAAGAAGGCGACACACGCGCAGCGCACAGCACAGCGGAGTGTGTGTGGTTCGTCCCATGTGTGTGTGTGCAGGCAGCTGCTGCAGATGTGTTGGGCGCCGAGTCCGGCGGATCGGCCGTCGTTCGAGACGGTCCTCGCCGTGCTCAAACAAGTCAGCTGATGGGGGTGGGGTAGGGTTGCGTTGCGTTGGGTTGGGTTGGGTGTTCTGGGTGCGGTGGCGGTGATGCGCTGTCGAGTGAAGGTGCATAGGGGCTGGCTGCTCGGGACATGTAGTGTATTTGGCCGGGGGGGAATTGCGTGTGTGCATCCTTTTGTGTTGGCTGGTTTGCTAATGGAAAGATTGGTCTGGCAATGAAGGTGGTCGTGAGTGATGGTAGGTTGGCTGACACGAACACTTGCTCGCGCACAGTGACTGGGTGAAATGCGGTGTGTCCTCTGAGAGGAATGAACTTCAGCTGGCAGTTCGATGGATGCGACACGGAGCGACCGACGTCCATTTGCAACGGTCAGCGAACGAGTGACGGCTCACATCACACAGAAATGTACCACAGCATATTGTGAGAAAAAACCGTGTATCTAGTGTGAAGGACCCTTGAAAACCAGCGGCACACCGACCGACATATGAGCACGATGTGATGTGTATACCGACCATACCAGGTGGGCTCTCTCATCAACACATACACACCACAAACACACGCAATCCCTATCTGCCCTGCCTAGCCCCCACACATGAGTGGAATGCTCTGTGCCTGATACTGTAACTGTACAACGCATAAAATTGCCACGCCAGCCACCAATTAGGAATCCATGGTGAATTGCCCGTTTGTCTCCCTGTCTGTGCTCCGCCCTCCCTCCCTCCCTCCCTCCCTCCCTCACTCATCTATACTACAAGGCGGCCACAACGCATTTGCAGCAATCATGCACAACACAGTGTTCGTCAACCATCATCGGCCAATGGCACCATTGTATGAAGCAGCCACAAGAAAGCGCAACACACACACTCAAGACACAGCGGGGCAGGCACCCAGCCAGCCAGCCAGCCAGCCAGCCAGACAGGAGAGGGAAAACCAGCTTTTAGCTGACTATGCTCTGGACACACGCATGACACACACACACACACATACCCACACGCATACGTCGTGGCAGCCGCCCTTTGTCCGAATCGCAGAGAGAGCGAAAAAGACAGAGCAAGCATACATTCGCACACACACAACAGAGCCTGTCGAGCCTGTCTGTCTCTAGTCTCTAGGGCGCCTCAGTGGGCGACTCCGGGGCCCTCACACCCGCCGGCGTGCTGCTCGGGCGGTTTCCCTTGGCTCCGATGGCCTGCCCAGTGTGCCACTGGGGCGAATAGGGTCCACTGCCGGTGACCACAGTGAGGCCGTGGGAGCTCAGCTTGGTGCGCACGACGTTGGGGGGGCTGCCTGGATGAGGTCCGTCGGGCAGTCCGTCGGCTGATGTCCGCTTTGCAGGTGGTGAGATGGGTGGCTGTGGTCTGATCCAGTTGACCTTGTAGTAGAAGGCCTCGTTGCCGTTGGACATCCGGAGGGTCGTCTTCTCAATCGCTATCGACAGCTCGTGCTCTTGCCTGATGCACTCAACGACGGAGGGATGCAGGGAGGGATGGATGGGGTGTGTGGTCATGTCATCTGTGTGGTCATCGGTGGGGGACTGCTCACTTACGCCATGTACGAGATGAGAAGCTCCCTCCTGCCAGCGATCAGCTCACACAGACTGTCGGAGAAGAAGGGCTCCACCCAACACACGGGGGGCGGGGCCTGCGGGGTGGCGGCAGCGGGGGGATGGCCGCCCACACCACGAGACGGCAAAGACGAGCCCCTCACGTGACACCTGGTATCGTCACGCCCAGACAGACAGACAGACAGACAGACAGAGGACGGAATGTTTTCTCGACCCTCCAATCAGTCAAGTCGATGACTCCGTCATCCATCCATCCCATCACGTACCTGGCCACAATGTCGTCTCGGTGCACATCGATCTTGCCCCAGCCGAGTATCTGCACCGTCACCCTGTCCTCCTCCCGCGCCGAAGGGAACACCCCAACCGCACACGCCTGCAGCGACACACCCATACCCGCACCGCCGCACGCCGACGCCTCACGATGGTGGTCCCTCTCACGCCGCTCCTCATCCCACCCCTCCCCTGCGCAATGCCTCGGCAGCCCACCGCCGTCCACGAACTGGCGGAAGCCTTTGAAGAGCACCGCTGCGAAATTGCGCAGGAGCGCGCGCATCTTCTGGTCGCCCCACCTCTGCTCCTGCGCCAGCTCCTCCAGCTTCCGGTCAGAGAGAGTTAGGGGTGGGGGCAGGGCGGCCGCTGTGCGACCGTTCTCGAGCAGCGCCTCGATATCAATGTTGTAGAAGTCGAGCTCTTTGAGCAGGTGGTCCTCCATCAGGTGAGGGGGGCAATACCAGGACCGGGAGCGGAGGATCTCCAACACGGCCTCATAATACGCACCCGACCTGCAAACACATGGGAGAGAGAGAGTCTGAGTGAGGACGGTGCCTCTGCGGCTGTTTGTGTGAGGGAGCTCTGCAGGGATGCCCACGCACCTATCGATGAAGTATGCGCCGCTCTCGTCGCGGTAGGCAGGAATGCGGCCACTCAGGAGGCCGACGAAGAAAGAATTCTGGGCCAAACCGGTCTGCACACAAACATAACCAGACAGACCCCACAGGCTACCAAATAGATGCCACCACCTTTTGCCTCCCGTGGTGTGCGAGTGACCTGCCAGCCTACCTGGAGTGTCGACGCGAGTGTGGTGAACTTCATCCCTCCGACATTCAGATGCACCAACGGAGATGGCGCGGGCGGCGGCGAGTAGTCGGGCGTAGACTGCCTCACGAGCGATGACGACGAAGCCTCTTCCATCTTCCAGACCAGCTGGATGGTCGTGCCATCAAAACCGTGATTCTCGTTCTCCCTCTTTCTCAAGCTGGCAACGGTTTCAGGAAGCACCCTAGGCGGCCTTTCAGCTCGCAAGTGGCTTCGAGAGGGAGAAGAGAGCATAAGGGCCAGGCCATCAGCACAAGGACAAGGACAGCCATAAGAGAGCATCGGAGGAGCAGATCAGCAAAAGCCGCCATGCGGTGGTGGGATCCGGCAGAAGAGGCTTCCGCCGTGAAGCAGTGTGCTGCTCAACGACCAGGGAGAAGGAGGAGCCAGCAACAGCAGCAGCAGCAGTGGTGGCGTCAGAGTGCTCTCCAGCCGTCGAGCGGAGTAATGGTCATGTGCTTGTGCCTTGTGCAGTGGCTCTATCTGCCGCTGTGCGAGGGTGCCACACGGCTGGCGCGAGGGAGATTGCTGGGATTTGGTTCTCTTCCGACGCCTCGATTGGCCGCAGGCGTGCAGTGGAGGGAATGTCGACGCAGAGAGGGTGAGCGAATCATGACTGACAGAGAAACATAGACTGGATGTCTGTCTGTCTGTCTGGTGTTATTATCAGGTGGTCAGCCGCCTCTCCTCCGTCTTGCAGCGAAGAAGCGGTCTGTAGAGCCGCCTTCAGACGGGGACGACGAAGCAAAGCCGAAGAGCGCGAAAGCGGATAATGCTGATACAGCCCCCCCGTCGCTTACCCCCCTTGCTTCTCTTGGCGACATCGAGATGGACGTCGGCGATGCATCCGCTGCTGCTGCTGCGCCTGAGTCGGCCCCGAAAGCCAAGAAGTCTCGAGGCAAGAAGGCGGAGGCAGCGACGCGGTGGTTCCCGACCAACGATGAGGAGTGGAGGACAGAGGCCGCTCTCGCAGACTTGGAGACCAGAATGAAGGTGAGGGAGGGCGACTACACACAGGAGCGGGTGACTGACGTGCAGGTTGCTGGTTCAAATGTTCTTTCTGCCTGTCTGTCTGCAGCGTGCTTCGGATGAGGGCCGGTACACAGAAGCGGCGGCTTTGCGTGATGACATCTCAAAGCTGCACACAGACGAGTACCTCAGAGTCCTCGAGGCAAACAGACGATTCTACGCCGCGTAAGGAAGACACACGCCCGGCCAAGCGGCGCTTCACCCACACATACATTCCTCCCTCCCTCCCTCTCCCTCTCTGGATGTCTGTCTGTGTCTTGCGTCCGTCAGGTTCTCTTCCAAGTCGCTGCAGGAGATGCAGGCCGTGTGGATGAACAACAACATGATCTTGTGCTTCCACCCCTCGTCGCCCAAGCCCATCAGCGGCTACGAGGCCATCATGGACTCATGGAAGCGGCTCTTTCACGCGACAAACAGAGACGGCGAGAAACAGCGGGTCATCCAGCCGCACAACATCGCCGCTCGGGTGAGGGGCACTACTGCCTGGGTGACGTGCGAGGAGGTGGTCCTCAAGAAGGTCTCTGGCAACTCTTCCCCCGTGCCCACGGGGAGGCGTCTCATCGCCACAAACGTCTTCCACAAGCTAGATGGGAAATGGTCAGTGTCGCGAGCAAACGAGCGAGATTTACTAGACATGGTGCACACAAGTTACTTAGTTGGTTGTTTCTTCTTTGTCGGCTGCAGGCTGCTGGTGCACCACCACGCCTCTGCACCACAGAGGGTCCAAAGGCGCCAGCAGCAAGTGTGGGCTTCTGGCAACATATTCGGTGCACGCACACAAAACACACAGCCACACGGGCACACGCCAGGGATGCCATTCCTCACACACGCCCTCTGTCGCCCGTCCCGTCTGTGTGAATATCAGATTTATTCGACGGTGGCCAGGAGATGGAGGAAGAAGAGGACGAGTACGACGCCAGAGAAGACGCGGAGGGACCCGGTGAGTCAGACAGATGAGGGCAGCCAGGCAGGCCATGTAGCCCATGCCTTGGACGCATGTCTCTCCGTGATCACCATTTCAGATGACATGTTTGAGTTTGACACGGACGACCAGGAGCCGCAGCAAGTGAGGGTGATAGTGGGCGGCCCAGGGGCACCTCAGCAGCTGGGCGGCTTCTTCAAGCGGATCCTCATGGGCGGCCAGGAGGGCGGCGACATGATGTTCGACTCGACGGGCGACGACAACGGCAAGAAGGTACGTACGCACCTACCGACCGACACACGACGCCCATCAATGTCCTCGATGCTGTGTTGTGTTGGGGTGCGCTGTGTCGGGTGCAGGGGTTTGTGGCTCATCAGTTCTTCACCATCGACCAGAACGGCAACATCCGCAGCGCATCCATAGACGACGGCGACAGTGACGATGAACAAGACGACACCAAAACCACCGGCGGCCAGCAGAACAAGAAGAAGAAGCGGGGGCAGAACAACAGCAGCAACAACAGCCAAGTGACGCCCAACCTGGCGGCTGGGGGCCCTTTCTCCCTTTTCGACCAGGTGCTGGGCCTCCCGCCCGGGCCGGTGATTCGGCAGCAGCAGATGGGTGGCCCATCAGGGATGCAGATCACTCCGCTGCATCAAATCATCAACGATATTGATGAGAATGAGTCACCCGAAGACGCTGCTGCCGCCGCTGCATACCAGACCCCCTCCATCTCACTCCACAACATCCCCCTGACCCGCGTCGAGCGCAACGGCAGCGTCGCCTTCGAGGCGCCACAGATCAGCCTGGCAGCAGCGCCAGCACCACCCTCCCCGCCCCCCACCACAACAGCAAAGGATTGGATCGATCTGTCCGACCTGACGCCGACACAGCCACAGCAGCCGAAGGTGGAGCCCTCCGTGACTTCCAAGGCCGTCAAGGCCATCCGTCGGCTGCACCGGCAATCACGGCTGTCTAACTTTGAGAAGAAGGTGCTGCTCAAGGAGCTGGTGGACGACCAGGTGATTGCCAGGGTGGGGGAGGGGGCGTCGAGGGGGCAGAGAATCGATGTCGCCTATCGGTTGCTCGTCGAAGAAGCCACCAAGGTGAGAGGGAGGGGGCGTGGTGGCAGCTCCACACACACAAGACGGCAGAGGAGATGCATTTATTGCGTGTGCGCTTGTGTGTGTGTGGTGCGTTCCAGAATGGCACATCGGCTGAGGCGGAGGAAGCCGAAGACGACTTTCTTCAGCAGCTCCAGATGATCACAGCCGCGGCGAACCAGACCACCACCCCAGCCCACAATGAGTAGGGTACGTCGATGTCTATCCCTGTGTCTTTGTTTGACGGGTTTTCCATTGCGTTGCCACCGTTCCATTCCGTTCCGTTTCGACCCACAAGGCAAGGCAAGGCAGGGAGGGAGGAGGAAGGATTGTGTGTGTGTGTATGTGTGAAAGCAGTGTGTGCATATCCAACCGAGATGATGAGATTTTTGCACGTCCGTCCCCGCTGTCTGTTTTGGCTGGCGATGCAGTCAGTGATGTCGTGACTGACGAAGATGTGAGACCCTTTTGAGTTTGGCATCTCTGTCTGTTCTCTTCCAACTGACCAACACGCTTTAAGCCTACACATATACACTAGTGCTGGCAACACCCGTGCGATCATGCGCAGCCCCTGGCCGCGTCTACACTCGGCTCGGCTCACCAGATGAACTGATCTGCACACACACACACACACACACACACACAGAAACACACACACACAAGGCCACTGACAAGAGTATGACAACGTTCGGGCATCTCGCGTGGTCAGGTACTGGCAAACTCCTGTAGAGTCTGTCGGGCTCTGTGCAGTCCTTCTGCCACATCGCCCTCAGCGACGCCCCTCTTGAGGAAGTGCACGGCGTTCTTGATCTTGGACACCACCATGTTGTTCGAGGCACGCAGCCTATCGAAGCTCCTGCGGTCCGACTTAAGGATCTTCCCTGCCATGGGTCAGAAGCAGTCAGGGCAGCGACGCGAGAGGCAGTGGTTTGTGTACCGAATTGGTCTTTGGTGTGTTTGTCCATGCGGTTCGACGACATGATGTCGCTGAGCCCCTCTGATGTGTCCTTGTTGAGTGCTTTGGTCCTCTTCATGTTGGCCTCCAGCTTATGCTGGATGCTCTCCAGCTTCGTCACCATCGCCTCGGCCTGCGTGCACCGCAGCGGCGTGGGTGAGGAGGAGAGTTGACGCACGTGTGGCCCTCTTACCTCTTTCTTGTCTGCGGCTCTGTCCTTGGTCTGCGCCTTCGGCCCTCCATCGTGATGGATCTGCCCGAGACTCGACGCTGCTGAACCGAACCACAAGCTGGGTTAATGCATGCAAACTGAAAGATTTCTTCTCACGTGCTACCTGCTTGGCCTCCCACAACCAGCCATGAGGCCAGCAGCACCGAGAACGAAAGGAAAACCATTGGGAGACCTCCCGTATTTACAGCCTCCTGATGAGTTTTTCGCCCTGCCCTAAACACAATAACCAAAACCAAAACAGAGCGTTAGCCTGTGATATCGCAAGCAGACAGATATGGTAAGTCGAGGGTGGCAACAGGGCATCGGGTTCACAGGCAGATCACTCAGGGCAACAAGCCAGACGTGACGTGGGAGTGGCAGAGTGTCCGCGTGGGATCTCATCTCACGGTGGCTGTTTGGCGTCGTGTTTCTGGCTGTATGTGGTTGACTTGACTGACACAGGCGCGTGGAGCGAGCGGCAGTCAGGCAGCGACTTCAGCCAGCAGCGGCAAGGGCGGTCCAGCCACCACCATCGGAGGACAGCGCACCACGCTCGCACGGTACACAAACAGACAGACTCGGACACACACACACAGCAAGACAACACGGATAGCGGCGGACACACGAGGAGGGAGGCGATGTTCATCTTTCTGGTCTCCTTGTCCCGTGTTGTGTTGGTGTGGGTGTAATGTCACTCACAGGCGCAACGTAGGTCGTTCGTCTGCTGTGGCGCCGAGCAGCAAGGGCCGCGGCGCCTCGTCCCAGGGCATCCTGCGGTTCTACACCGATGACGCACCGGGACTCAAAGTGTATGCGACCACAGCGAACGAACGCCCTCCACGCGATTCTGGGTTGGTTGATGTGTTTGTTGTATTGCTCAGTGGTCCGACGACCGTATTGGTGTTGTCGTTGGTGTTCATGGCGATCGTGGTTATCTTGCACATCATGGGCAAGACGCGAGCTGGCAGATACGAATCCGCCTAGAGGGAGGGAAGGGAACGAACCGCCACCCCAATACACACAAACGGCGGGAGAGGGGGAGGAGCGAAGGAGGGAGAGGTGGCGGGGGGAGAAGCAATAGTATCCCGATCGCACGATGGGTGCGTCCGTGTGCTCAGTTGCACACCGCGCCCCGTCGGCTCTCTTGGCGTTGCGTGCTTGTGCGATGTGATGTTTAATTAG